CTTCTTTATAAGTCTGAATCATTTTTATCGAAATAACAAGTTGAGTTTTATTTTTGGAAATATTAGAGTTTATCTCTTTTATCTTAGTGAGAGTGATTCTCCTAAATTCTTGAGTGATTCAAGAACCCTTGGCTAGTATCAAAGGACTTTCACATCCTTTGTGTGTTGCCTTCCTTGGGAAGAGTGATTCTTTCCTTCCACCTTCTTTCAAATTCCTAAATTTCTTACAAGGTTCTAACCCTAAAGATCCTAAATTACCCCTTGTGATTCATATCAGTTGGTATTCAGAGCCCCGGTTTAAAGGTTTGAACATCAAATTGATGGCAGAGGAGAATAAAAAGAAAATGAGAGAAAAATTTCTTCAAGAAAAGAAAGAAAAAAAGAAGAAGAGTGAAACACGTGAAGTGAAACAGAGCTATTTAGCCATAAAAAGTGAGTATAATGTTAGTTCTACATTCAATTTATCAGACTTATCTCTTTTTTATGTAGATGATGAATCCAATTTGAGGACAAATCCTTTTCAAGAGGGAGAGAATGATGTAAACATGACCTATGATAAGGGTTAGAGCAAGGGAAACAAAGAAAACTTTTTAACAAATATTGTTGGTTGGCCAAATTGTGTTTTGGATTAATCAATTAATGGGCTTTAGTTTAGTTTTATTGCAAGTTGTAATAAGGGCCCAATTGGAAATTTAGTTATCAGTCTTTGGGAGACCAAGAGGGTGCATAGCTGATTGACTTTTGGATGCTACAATTTCAGTTATAATCAATCATTAAGTAGTTTTCAATTCTTAGGTTAATAAATCATTATTAGCATTTATTTTTCTTTAATGAATATTTGTAACTCTGATGGCAAAGCTTCTTTATAAGCTGAACCATTTTTATCAGAAATAACAAGTTGAGTTTTATTTTTGGAAATATTAGAGTTTATCTCTTTTATCTTAGTGAGAGTGATTCTCCTAAATTCTTGAGTGATTCAAGAACCCTTGGCTGTATCAAAGGACTTTCACATCCTTTGTGTGTTGCCTTCCTTGGGAAGAGTGATTCTTTCCTTCCACCTTCTTTCAAATTCCTAAATTTCTTACAAGGTTCTAACCCTAAAGATCCTAAATTACCCCTTGTGATTCATATCATTTTGTTACTTTTATTGATGGGTTTTCTAGATGTACTTGGGTTTATCTTATGAAAGATCGTTCTAAACTATTGACTATCTTTAAGTCTTTCCTTAATGAAATCAAAACTCAATTTGGAAAATTAATCAAAGTTTTACGAAATGATAATGTCAAAGAGTATTTTTCTAATGATTTTTCTAATGTCCTAAATTCTCAAGGCATTTTACACCAGTCCACGTGTCCTCACACATCACAGCAAAATGGTGTAGCAGAACGGAAAAATAGACATTTGGTTGAAACTACTCGTACCTTACTGCTGGGTGCCAATATGCCTATTCATCATTGGGGAGATGCTATTCTAACTGCATGCTTTCTCATTAATAGAATGCCATCTTCTTCTCTTGATAATAAAGTTCCTCACTTTATTCTATTTCCAAAGGAACCAATTTTTCATGTTTCTCCTAGGGTATTTGGATGTATATGTTTTGTTCATGACATGTCTCCTGGCTTAGATAAACTCTTACCTAGAGTTATCAAATGTGTCTTCTTGGGGTATTCTCGTCTTCAAAAAGGATATCAGTGGTATTCTCCTGAAACCAAGAGGTACTACATGTCTACTAATGTCACCTTTTTTGAATCATCATTCTTCTTCCCTTATTCTATGCAGGATATTGATTCTGTCCAAAATGTTTTTCCTGTTCCCTTAGTTGAATCATTTGTACCTCCTATTCTTGACAACCCAAATCCCAACCAAAATACTCTAGAATCATCATCACAGCCTATCATCACCTATCAACGCACGAACCAGGTGAACAATCCCATTCCCCAAGATGAGCCATCCATAACAGGTCCTTCACCATCATCCTCTAATACCACGGCTCCTGATAACGATGACTCCAGTTGGCCCATTGTCATTCGCAAAGGTACTCGTTCTACTCGTAATCCTCATCCCATTTACAATTTTCTTAGTTATCATAGATTGTCTCCTTCCTATTGTTCTTTTATTTCCTCTGTATCCTCTATTACAATTCCCAAAAATGTGGTCGAAGCGCTTGATCATCCTGGATGGCGACAAACCATGATTTCTGAAATGCAGGCTCTTGATCACAGCAAAACATGGGAGCTTGTTCCTCTCCCTTCGGGAAAGAAAACAGTTGGTTGTTGTTGGATCTATGCTATTAAAGTTGGGCCCAATGGTCGGGTTGATCGTCTTAAAGCCAGGTTAGTGGCTAAAGGGTATTCTCAAATATATGGACTTGATTATTGTGATACTTTTTCTCCTGTAGCCAAAATGACCACTGTCCGCCTGTTCCTTGCCATGGTCGCCATTCGTCATTGGCCTCTTCATCAATTGGATATTAAAAATGTTTTTTTTGCACGGTGACTTAGAAGAAGAAGTTTACATGGAGCAACCTCCTAGACTTGTTGCTCAGGGGAAGTCTGGTTTGGTTTGTAAATTACGTCGATCCCTCTATGGCCTAAAACAGTCTCCACGTGCTTGGTTTGGAAAATTCAGCTCTATTGTTCAAGCTTTTGGATTAAAACGCAGGGAAGCAGATCATTCAATGTTTTATTGTCAACTGCCCCTGGCAAACATGTTTATTTAATTGTTTACGTTGATGATATTGTCATCACAGGGAATGATGCTGCTAAAATATCTCAGCTAAAAGAGCACTTGTGTAGTCATTTTCAGACCAAGGATCTTGAAAATCTAAAATATTTCTTGGGTATTGAAGTAGCTCAATCAAGAGAAGGTATTGTCATCTCTCAAAGGAAGTATGCTCTAGATATTCTAAAAGAGACAGGTATGATTGATTGCAAACCTGTGGACAGTCCTATGGATCCAAATTTGAAGTTAATGGCAGGATAGGGTGAAGTTTTCTCTGACCCAGAAAGATATAGAAAACTGGTTGGGAAACTTATTTATTTGACGATTACTAGACCTGATTTGTCTTTTGCAGTTGGTGTTTTCAGCCAATTTATGCAAGCTCCTTGTGTGGATCATTGGAATGCTATCATTCGAATCTTAAGATACATTAAAAAAACTCCAGGACAAGGATTATTATATGAAGATAAGGGAAATACCCAAATTTTTGGGTACTGTGATGCTGACTGAGCTGGATCTCCTAAGGATAGGAGTTCCACTACAGGCTATTGTGTTTTCTTTGGAGGAAATATCATTTCATGGAAAAGCAAAAAGCAAAACGTTGTTGCCCGATCCTCTGCTGAAGCTGAATATAGGGCAATGACGTCTCTTACTTGTGAACTTGTTTGGGTAAAATAATTCTTGCAAGAATTGAACTTCTGTGAGATTCAATCTATGAAGATGTATTGTGATAATCAAGCTGTTCTTCACATTGCTTCCAACCCAGTATTTCATGAGAGGACTAAGCATATTGAGATTGACTGTCATTTTATTCGGGAGAAGTTGTTGACTAAAGAAATTTGTACTGAGTTTGTTGGTTCCAATGATCAGCTTGCAGATGCATTAACAAAATCTTTGAGAGGACCTCGAATGGAATTCATTTGTTCCAAGCTTGGTACATTCAATTTGTATGCTCCAGCTTGAGGGGGAGTGTTGAAGTATTTATTAGATTAAGTGTACCTTGTTGGCATTTATGAGATTAGTTGTAGACCTAGTTCCTAGAATGCATCTGTTTATCTTCTCTAGGATTAATCATGTCTCTCTATTAATTGTATGTCTGAATCTGTATTTTTATCTCCTATAAATAAGAGAACACAAGAAGATGATTTCAGGCTCTCAAAATCAGTTCTTTATTTTTCTTTTTCTATTTCAAGTAAGACAAGGATGCTATCAAGGGAAGGACAATGTTATGAAAATTATGTCAGCAGTCCAAATTAGAGTTGCTAACTGTGGAAATTGTTTGTAGTCAAACTTGTTGTTAGAAGTTAGTTGTGTCAGTTGGCTATATAAATAGCAATGCAAATCTTGTATGTGGAGGGCTTTTGTTAATTCATTCCGACTCTTCCTTATAACTCTTTCTACAACTCAATAATAATTCATTCGGGACTCTTCATAGTTGGGTTCCCTATCATTCTTTTAGTTCTTCGAGTGCATGGTATTCCTAGAACTAGTTAGTTTCACAACACTTTCCTTCTAGTGGAGGATGGAGATTTACCAAGTAATGGTACTCATGCAAAATTATATGAACAGAATTTTCTTGTATAATCTTCATTTTGCCCAACTTGGGTGTTCTAAGTAATGAGGTTGTTGGATTGACTTAGTGATATGTCTAAATTACTGTATATAAAATGAGGATAAGCCTCATACTAGCTTGCTGGATTTGTGGAGTTGAGTTAGAAGGTATTGGACAAAACCTTTATGAAGTTCTTTTCATGTATTTTATTTTATTCTCATATTCGAAGTGAAGTTTTACCATCATAACTTATGCTAACTATTAGAAATATAAGATAATATCTAATATCTTTAGATATTTCTTATATTTCTAACACTAATTACATACATTATTGAAGTGAAACTATGATACTGATGAGAATATAACTCAAAATACAAAGGAAATGTATTTAAGTTTTGTCTTAAGTATTGAGTCATCATCAATTGATAAATGTTACAAGCATGCATTAATATAGTGTCAAAAGTTTATTTACCTAGTACACTTGAGACGGGTATACTAATGTAGTATTTGGCACGCACACCATGTGAATTAGAAATGTTTTGCTCTGTTCTCCTTAATATTCTTTTCCATATAAATAGTGAATTTATTTATCTGCTTTAATATGATGGTCAATGATGTTCAACTGGATTTTTGAGGCCCAAAACACCACCACTATACTAATTAAGAATTTTCGCATCTGTATACATGCTTTCAGATACAATGGGAAAATAGTTGTCATTGTAGTAGGACCATGTTTCAGATATATGGCTCTGGTTACTCAAGTGCCTTACGTTTAATATTATGTTTGAATAACTTACAATGTCAACTGGCAAGTTTGTTGTCTGACATGGTTCCCTTAAAATGAATTGCAGGCACTGTAGCTGAGCAGGTTATGCTCCTTGAGAACATTGGGACATCTGTCCTTGTTTCTAAAAATCAGGTATACTTTACAGTAAGTAAAATAAAATATACTTTAACAAGTACCTGTCAAAGGACATTATAGGCAGTGCGGAATATAATAGATAAACTTTTCCTGCTTTGGATAGCCCTTGCTTATTTGTGGAAATGAAGGGTTTTATTGTAATCCCTTGTTACTACTTAAAAAAGGACGAAAATACAGTCATGATATAGTTGTGAATGAATTTACATTTTTGAACTTCAAATATGTCAATGTATATGTATTGAAAGAAACAATGCATGTTGAAAAAGCTCTATAATTATCTATGTGAATTTCCATTGCTTGTGTACTCGTATATATGAATGTGCTTGTGGGTTCTGATTAAATATATGAGAGGTGTGAAGTATCTGCCCTTGTACATTTTTATTTTCGCTCAGTTAAGCTGTGTGACATAATTATCTTCAAGTACATGTAGTTAGTCAATGTTCCTGTCTGCAACTCAATAATGGTAATATGATTTTTTATTTTACGCAACATGAATCAACAGATAATATTAATGCATTTAGTTTCTCGCTCAGTTGATGCCATTTAATTTCACCTCAAATAAATAAATAAACTTTTCCTCTTATTTTGTCAGCTTCCTGATCTTTACCACCTAATGGTCGAAGCTGCAGAAATATTAAATGTTGATGCCCCTGATCTATATGTTCGTCAAAGTCCTGTGCCAAATGCATATACATTAGCTATAAGCGGTAAACGACCTTTCGTTGTCATTCATACTAGCCTTGTGGAGCTCCTTACAAAAGCAGAGTTGCAGGTTATAATTTGATTCTTTATTACATCTTTTTAGTTTTCAACCCAATTTCTTAGTCAGTATATTAACCACGAAGTTCCCCCACCCCCCTGCTCAAAACCAAAAAATTCAGCCCAGTTCATATTTCACAAACAAATTCTTTTTGCAAATATCGTTTGAGCTGAATGATGTATAGGTTTTTCTCTCCCAACATGCCTGATTATTATTCAAGCCATCTTTAAATATCTTATCCATTGCTCTTGTTTCAAATGTAATTAACTTGTGACTTTAACAGGCTGTTTTGGCTCATGAGCTGGGTCACCTAAAATGTGATCATGGTGTGTGGCTCACTTATGCAAATATTCTAACCCTTGGAGCCTACACTGTTCCTGGTAGGTGACATGGAACATATTTGTTTTTCAAAGATGTATTAATATCCACCAATGGATATGTTACTATGATAAAGTAGTTAACTATGTTGAATGATCAAAGTTGGAGAAACATTTTTCTCTTACTCCAACGGATAGAACTGGGAATAAAATCCATGTCACTTTTAACTATAGTTGAGTATAAATTGAAGACGTGCACATAATGCCAAATTTTTCGAACTTTTTCACTCACCTTTGAAAGGGTAGAGCTTATTTTGATCAGAACATGGAGTTTCTCATACATTGTTCGACTCAATTATTCATAACTAGTGCGATTTGTTGTAGGCATAGGCAGTATGATAGCTCGAACTTTGGAAGAGCAGCTATTCCGCTGGCTTCGAGCAGCTGAGTTGACTTGTGATCGAGCAGCCCTTCTTGTTGCTCAAGACCCTAAGGTACGCTACTATGCTGATATATGTATATTGGTTATTATTGTATATTGATTGAAATACTGAATTATAAATATTTCATTCCCCAACCCTACAAGAGGTCGTCATCTCTGTCCTCATGAAATTAGCTGGAGGATGTCCATCTATGGCTGATCAACTAAATGTGGATGCATTCCTGGAGCAAGCTCGCTCTTATGAAAAAGCGGCTTCCAGCCCAATTGGGTGGTATATGAGGTTTGTAGCGTCCTGTTTAGGGCACTAGAAAATTATGTCGTGATTTTTTTTTTCCCCATTCAGAAGCTAAACTTCTGGCTGCTGATTAGGAATGCACAAACAAGGCAACTGTCACATCCTCTACCTGTTCTACGTGCTAGTGAAATTGATGAATGGTCAAGAACTCCAGCTTATAATTCCCTTTTGAAACGTGGAATTCAGATCAAAGCAGTAGAACAAAATGTCTAGCAGTGTGTGCATGGATTTTGTTCAAAGTGCTCAGTAGCTGAAAGTTCTTCGAGGTTAATTTCTTAAAACCTCTCCAATCTCTGCTTTACTTTTCTGCATTCACCCATGTCGGTAATATGGCTAACAATAATTATAGGCTTGGTTAAACTTTTCATGAATTTAATCCCACAACTATTTTAAGTATGCAATTTTGGTTCATCTAATAATTTAGCATCTAATGTTTAATGAAAATGTTAACTTGATACTTTGTAACAATATCAGATCGGTATATCTATGTTGTTATTACACTTAGTATTTATGTTAAATACTTAATTTAGGTTAAGGGATGAAGAAAAATAACTTCATTCAGATAGTAAGAGAAACAAATTCAAGAGAAAAATAAAAGAATAGGAGACCAAATTTGAATTTGGACAAGAGGAAGACTAAGTGATAGGATGTAATAGATGTAAATTGTAGATATTGCTCATGAATTTTTTATTCGTAAGCACTTTTAAAAAAAAGAAATGAGAAGGAAAAATAAATAATATGTATAAACTAATATGTAGAAGCTTTCGTGTATTAATTTTTTAAAAATCAAGCTTCTAACTTGTACATAAACTAGTTTTAATTTATCAGAAATTTATTTCACTTTTTTTTTTCCATAGAAGTGCATATAAATAAGTTTATCCAAATATATTCATAATCAATTACATGTATCTACATAGAAACAAAGTGTGAAAGTCAACATTCCTTTCAGCAGTAGTATTATTACATTTTGAAAACTATGGAAGGTCCATCCCTTTCTGGGCGAGGAAAGAATAATAGGGAAGAAAAGGCAAAAGATACAGAAAAGAAGTGATATATGCGATAACTTGCTAGTAATGTGATAGAAAAATAAGAGGTTTTTAAATACAATATGGTGAAATAGAATGGAAGAGAAAAAAAAACAATTACTCATATTTTCGGACCTTCCTAGTCGGTTTGAGGAATAATAAGTATGTCATGAGTGTTGGTCTTATCAAATGAGCAGCCATAACCTTGACTTTTATTTCTCATGATGGGTCTTTATAAATAATTTTGGAGTCAAATAATAATAAATAAATATGGATGGATAAAAGAGTATGAAAAGGTGAAAGAAGAAAATTATAAATATTTAAATAAATATATTTAATGATTATTAAATTTAAACATTAAAAGTTTTTAAGGAAAGATGACCCATCACCTCCTAATAAGTTCCATCACCTGTTTCCACATAATGTACCTTTTGAACACTTGGCAGCCATTTTATTTCTTACTCAGTTTTCTCGGTTTGCACTCGGGCCTGATCAATTCGGTCAGCTATTTGTGGTTGGTCCCGAACATATTTATCTTCATTTGGGTCTGATCAGGTCCGATGAGTTCAGCCAACTATCTGTATGATTTTGCCTTTATTCGTTTTTGTATTTATATATATATATATATATATATATATATATATATATATATATATATATATATATGTAGAGAACTTTTGTTTTCCATTTAGACATCAATAATATATATGTATTTTTTTCTCTACTCATTTTCTCTGTTCGTTTTTGCGTTTGCCTTTTCCATGCTGAACCTTCTTTTCGAGACTCAGTATGTTTTATTTTACTCTATGGAACAGTCAGTGCTTGGTGTTCAAATGGTGTCAGGCTGCTGCAAAGTACTGTAAATCTACAAATGCGTATTCGATTCGATATATAATTCAACCTGTAAGTAGAATTTTGATTACACGGATTATTATTTCATAGAAATATTGGCCCTGGAAAAGAAAGAATAACCTGTATAATTCTAGCTTAGAAATGTTATAGGTGTAGAAAACTATATTATATAAGTTTTATGATTGAAAAATTTTATTCGCTGTATTTATACGCTATGTAAGCTTTTTTGGTATTATTATACTCAACTATAGATTACATCCAAGATTATTAGCTTATATATAAATTTTTCAAATTTCATATAATTAGATACATGATAATAGGATAGGGCATTATAAGTGAGTATAATTTTTATTTTAAGTTGAATTGGTAGAGTTTAATTAAATATATCGTATTTCTAAATTGATTTCAAAATCAATTTTATCTACATTTGTGGAATAATTCCCTATAAAAGAGGGTGTGTATAATGTAATTGTGGATGCTATAAAAGCATGTCTGTTGGTGTATTCTTTATTTGATAGTTTTATTGTGTCAGATCGCATTTAAAGTTTTCAAGGATATTTTTTTTCATGGTGAAACCATTTGAGATTCATCACATACCTATAATAAATTGATTGATGGGGAGAGAAAAATGAAGAATTTGGATCAACCAACCCTTTCACAGTATTTCACAGTATTGACCAAATTGAAAAATTAAAAGTTACATAAGGAGAAGAAATATAAAAAAATGTCAATCAAAATTAATTTATAAATTAAAAAGTTTGTTATATTAAATTAGTATTAAATGAAAGAACAAACGTATAATGAAAATTGTGTTAAAACATGAAGTTTTATCAACATATTAGTCAAAAACTAAATTTTATATATGCATATTTGTACGAGATTTCATAAAATTTTCTTCACCAATATCACGTATCATATCCTCAAGATTATCATTCATCCCTTCATCAAAATTGTCTGTAGTTGACACAGTTGGGATGTCTAATATTTCTCCATGTCATGTCCATATTGTATAACTCTTAATAATACCATAAACAAACAAGTCATCACGTATATCCTTAAGTTTATGACGAATTTGATTCAAACAACGAACACATGGACAATAATATGTCCCTTTCATAGCTTTTCCATTTTCACTAGCAAATTTCAAAAATTCTTCAACTCCCTTTTCGTACTCTTCACTAATACGACGTGCATTCATCCAACTTCGATTCATATTATGTTATAAAGTTTCGTCACTCCTAGAGATTTAAAAATTATATGTAAAAAGAAATTAATATACAAACAACAAAGCATGTTCCAACAACAATGGAGTGTGTAAACCGAATGCACTCAAACAAATAAACAAATAATTACATTCCAATAACAATCCAGTGGAGACATTCATACTATAACGTGATTGAGATCAGTGGCGGATCTTCTTGGGAGCTGAGGGGGGCCGTGGCCCCCTCAAAGTTTTGTAACTCCCATATAATTTATGATTTTGGCCCCCCCAAACATAATGAACATTTAATATATTTACTTGTATATTTACAATTTTATCCTCTCAACCCTCCTCGGTTTTGTAACTCTTGTATAATTTATGATTTTGTTTCCTTCAAACTTAATGATCATTTAATATATTTAAGTATATATCTACAATTTTATCTTTTCACCCTTTCATATTCTTTCTTCCTTTTATATTTATTTATTATTTATTAATAATATATTATTTGACCCCCTAAGATCAATGGTCAAGATCCGCCACTCGATTGAGATCCCCTAAAACAATCACAGATTCAATTTAAATATATAGCAATGACATAGAACACTAACCTCGAGTGTAGACGAAAAATGATTTCAAACTCGAATCCAATCGGGGAGAAATATCAAGTTCGTAAAATGACACACAATGTTGATGTTTTCCAGTGTCAAACTGATCGAAAATGGTGTGCAGAGGTAGCTGTTATCGTCGTTCTCAAAAACCTTGGTTGCGCGAGAGGAGGGAGTGGTTCGGGTGGAAATAAAAGGGACTTTTTACGTCGCGCATCCCAAGACGCGACGTAAAAGTTTTGTCTCTTAATTACAAAATTGACACCACGTTTCATTTACGTCGTATATTTTTACATGCGACGACAATTGGGTGACGTAGAAACCCTTTTTTGCACTAGTGATTTCTAGTGCTTTATATAAATTTGATTAACATTCCTTTCAAAAGCTCATCTCTCATGGAGTTTTACAACGTCCAAAGAAAATTTCAAAAAGGTTTTCATTTTTTAAAACTTTCTCGTTGAGAACTTTTCTTTTCTTTTTTATACAAGACTCATAAACATATAAAAATAAACAACTAATTTATTTTTATATAAATTAGTTCTTTGGTTACCTAAGAGATAAATCTTTCTTAAATCAAACATTTAATCTTATATCGTGTTGTTATTTTAACTTGCTTAAGTTAGTTGTAAGTTTTATTTAAGTGAATTTTCAATTTTTTAATAATATATTTTTTTTATCCTATCTTAAGCTAATTTCTACTTTTTTTCTTCCTCAAGCTCTTTTCATGTAAGAGAAAAACCAATGAGATTATTTGAAGATTAAATAAGATTAATTGATATCCAATAATAAATTTATCTCAACTTTTACACACCGCAATATGTAACAATATTTATATTCATAATTTAATTAAATTTCAGTTAATTTCATCGTGATACATATTTCTTTAAATGATTCATATATTATTTAAATATTCATGCTTTATAGAAGTTATAAATATTCATAATTTTTTTCTTATTTTTCCAAACGAGTATATATTGTGGACATTAACACTTTTTATTTTTTCGAAATTTAATGTTTAGGCTTATTTAAAAAGCATTTTTCGGAAAAGATATAATTGATTACGGTAAGTAATAATCAATTATTTTGCTCTTAGGTTATTTTGAAACAATATAAATTATCTTACTTATTTGCACATGTATACACTTCAACTTTAAGTCATATAATTTATTATATTTTAAGACAATTAATTATCTTACTTATCATAATCATTTTAAATTCATAATTTTCTCATCTTAAGATAATAAATTATATCTTAATATAATACTTAATAAGTTATTAGTTCAAATTATATAAACTTTTAAAAGATTTCATTTCAGTAGTCGTGAATTAAGATAATTTTGATATATTTTAACAATAATTTTAGCAATTAATGTATAGTACTTAACCTAAAAAATAAATTAAAAATTTGGTTCTTTTCATTGACATAACCAGTCAAAGTAATACCTCCCACATCTAATAAAATTTAAAAATGGTCGTCGGTTGAATGAAGAATCTTTGTAGATGACATAATAATAAATAGAATGAACG